GTTGATTAATTAGTAATCGATTGATTGGTTATTAATCTATTGATTGGTTTGATTTTTAAGGCATTTTTTGTGATTTTCCACCGATCAGAATGGTCAAAAAGCGTTGGAAACTCAGTTTTTACAAGTTAAAGACTGTTGATTCATGGAATCTTGGGATTTAATAGCTTTATAACCTATTAATTAGGTTGAGGCTTTCTAATGTAACGTCAGATGATACAAATTGTATGTTAAAAATAATATTTACGTGGTTTATAGGGGAAATAACTCGTGGAAAACTTTAAATGCAAATATCTCGAAAACTAATAGTGATACAGAGATGAGATCTTCACTGAATTGTAGCTAATTTTTACCCACATTTTACTAACCTAATTAAATGCATGCGTCTTTAAGGGTTATTTAGTAATCGACCGCCCGCGTTTAAGTTACTACGCGTTGCGTTCTGCAAACGGCAGGCGATAGTCACGATAGTCTTAAAATGTGAGAAGTATTCCAAAGGCTATAAATCATTTTCTATTGTATTTGTGGTCAAACAAGCTATATAAGCCTAGATTTATTAGTAAAATATCTAAAAGTACAGATTTTAACTCTATATTTATGGTTAAATGACCAAAAAATACGTATAATTAGCATTCAAACTACTCAGGTGTATTCTTTTTACAACATTAAAATGCTTTATTACTGATTTTGTTACTTACTAATTCTATATAAGTAATAATTCTATATAAGTACTACTTCTATAATTCTATACTAATAAGTACGTAAATATATACAGTTCAATACTTTAAAACCATACATTTATACTGAAAATACGTATAGAAAATTCAATTTTCAATCGACTAAAACTCGAGGTTCAAGACTCTATGTGTATGGTAAACTGTATGGTGTTTGTAGTTTACTAATAAACTATTAAGCCAAAAAGTGTTTATGATTTTAGCCATACATATTAAAGTATGACAATAGATCTACAGCAGCGCGCGGTGACCTTGCGCAATTTCCTTTGTCAGCGCATTCTATCGATGTTTGGGAAATACGGCCCGCGACTTGGCAGGCAGTTGATGTAACACTATGTACACTTCAAATAAATATCTTATAATTAGTTTAATACAGATTATAGCCTCTGATGAATGTATAGATTAACAGGAAGACAAACTAAAGACCTATCTTCATTTAACCGAATACTACGATTGTTATTTGATTTTAAAGGGTCTTTATTAGGATTCTAACTGTTTTAAGCCAATTTTGAACTAACCAAAGTATAATATAGTACCTTTGAGAATCATTTTAGCCTAAAACAGTAAATATTATGTTAATATACACTTTAAAAGTCTACAATCTGTGACTTAAAATAGTCCAACTCGGAGCAAAATAGCCAACTTTAGACTGATAAGGCTTAAAAAGTAAACATTTTTAAAGGCTGAAATATATATATTACTGTTGAATATATAGCAATAAACATAATTATGTAGTTTATTTCATCTTAAGCCTTTCAATAGCTTTATATTTCAGAAAATAAAATGGCGTTTTCGCCACGAGTTTAACAGACAATAAATGTCATAATATTGCAAATTATAGTGTTTTTTGTGATTTTTTAAGGGATTTTAACATCGAATTAGTTAAACTATACTAGTAAATGATTTGAAAACCACATTTGGAGAGCTTATAACTGTACAGTTTAGCCAGAAAATGGAAAAAATCGATTATGACAAAGACAGTTCAAAAAACACTAGAGTCTTATTCCTTGATTTATTTCTCTATAAAAGTAAATTATGACTTTATTTTTGTATATTTCACTGCTTAAGCACCTATTACATGGTATGTAGTTAAGTCTAAGTAATTTAAATGAACAGTTTATCGTAAATTCAAGTATTACCAGTGGTTGCAAATCAGCAAGTAAAACGATTCAAAACGTAAGACTCATAGCCTAATCTTGACTTTCTACTCTTTTTAACCAATGTCATAATCACTTATTGATGAATAAGACTGTAGAATATAATAAAATTACCGTTAAAGGCTTAATACCAGGGAAATAAGCTCATATTAGCACTAAAAGTGGAATTACAGCCATTATATCAAGCAAATAAGCCTATAAATCCATAAAAAATCGCTAAAAAATCGCTAAAAAATCACTAAAATCACTAAAAACCAATCAATCGATTAATAATTAATCAACCAATCTAAACTAAACAAATGAAACAAACTTCTTCTCCCTAGAGTGGATGTGCTGCACATACACACCCACGGATAGGATGGGGTTGTGGCCTTAGGTGGTTGATCGGTCGAATTTACCGTTTATTATTGGTTTTATTTGATTGATTAGTTTATTATTGGTTGTATCGATTGATTGATTAACTGATAAGTGATATCTGTTGCCCTAGTTCATTTAGATTGTTAATTGATCCATTTAGGCATGTAATCAGGTTCTTTTGTCCTGGTTTGTGTCAAAGACATCTTAGCTACAAGTATAACTTTTAATATGTGATAATAACCTAAAGGAATAACAAATACTTGTATAGTCAATACTCTTGAGCATATGTCATAAAACCATAGTCTCTAAGATAGAATTAAAAAACTAGTTGTCATTCAAATACAAAGGAAATAGATAACACATTAAAATATGGATCAATATTTTTATTTATTTGTAGGAATTTACAATATGATAAGTTGTTATACAGTACTATTTATATGTATTCCAAAACATTTCCCAAGTATGGGGAGCAACATTAAAGTATTCAGAACATGGCTGTTTAATATAGTAAGTATAGGTTCTAGCTTTTATAGCATTTTTTGCTGAAGGAACCTTGCAGTATAATTCGATATCATAGTTAGAAGCTGTATATAATACACAATTTGTAATCTCACACTTCTCTTGATATTTTACATCAGTTAAGAAGTTCTGACCTGCAGCTAGAAGTTTCCATACTTCAAATAAAGGCTCTGTTAATTTTATTTCATCCATTAAACAAGCATTAGAATGTACTAATGAGGAGAAATTGAAGGATGAATTTTCATTTATTCCTGTCAACCGGGTATAATTGAAATGACAACTTATTAAGCTTTCAATGATCATGCTTTTACCAGTAGACGGTGGTCCTTTAAAAAATAAATTATTTTTCTTACCAGATTTTTTGTGAAAATGGTCGTAGGTTATGTTAGCGAATTCATGAACATCAATAGAATTCATTTCTAACCATTTTGTTAATTTGGCCATTTGCTCTGAAAAATTAATGTCATTGGATATTTTTTCGTAATATTGCTTGGCTCTTTGTAACCTCTGGAATGATGTTTCCCCAAATGATATCATCTTACTGGTTTGAATAGCGATTTTGATTCTATCATTTGAAAACTTTTTAAACAAAAATTCTTGTCCATTAGGTTCAGCAGTTAACAAAATCTTTGCTGCTGATTCGGTAAAGCATTTATTTTTCAAAAACAACTCAATCAAGTAAGCATTAGTGATGACAATTCCATTGTTTGTTGATCCTTCAAAATCACTATCACATTCATCAAAATCTTCAAAACTAAATTGATTATTTTTACTATGCTTACTACAACAAACTAATGATTTATCTTTTTCTGTTAGAAAATCTGTAACGACTTCTCTACCATTTCCACTATGAAGGTAGTTTTGTAAACATTGAATACAACCAACATTCTTTATTTTATGTTGTACATGTGAAATATCAATACCTAATTTGGAATTGGTCTTAAACTTTCGATGTGAAGCTATATATAAAAAATGCCAATGATCATTTGTAGTACCTTTATGTAGGACAACTATCTTCCATGGTGTATAGAAGTCCTTTTCACTGGAATCCATTTCATCCTGTTGTGATGTTGATGAAGTATCATTTCTTGATGATGTAGATTGGGTTGGTGTATAGATGTCTTCTTTCTTGAAGTAGCAGTCAATCCTCATTTTCTTGGATTTCTTGGATGTTTCTTCCAAAGCAGAAGTTTTCTCAGACGATGTTTTTAGTGAAAAACCACATCCTAAACGCATACCATCAACAGTATCACTGTAACCCGGAATAACACTACGATCGTAATCTCTTGGTAACAATGCCATTATATGTAAACAATGTACGGATTTGTGAAGTGACATTATTATGTTAGGAAAACCAAAACCTATTCACTAAAGAAATTCTATACATAACACTCTGCGTATTACTCAACACTATTCGGAACTTATGTTCCATCTACTTAAATAGCTGCTAGTTATCTGTATTCATGATTTATCTTAAGTTTGTAGAACAAATAACCTTGGATTAAGATTATAAACCTTATCTTAGTAGACTTGTTAGGAACAAAGGTTTAAAACAAAGGGAAACTCAGCATCTTTTAAATAGTTTTAGTACCATATCTTATCAGTCAATCTATTAATCAGTAATCAATTAGATAATCAATCGATAAAACCAATAACAAGCGGTAAATTCGCCCGATCAACCACTTGAAGCCACAACCCCATCCTATCCGTGGGTGTGTATGTGCAGCACATCCACTCTAGGGAGAAGAAGTTTGAAGTCACGTACGTCACTGCGTCGCCGGCATATCCCCGGCACTGGCGGTATGCAGTGGCAGTGGCCGGCAGCTCATTGGCATTTTACCGGCGCTGATCAACGGTCGGCGTGTTAGCAACGTCCCGTTCCCGCCTGTGGTTCACTATTGGCATTTGGACGACCGGTAAAAAATCGGTCGTCCATTATCGGTGTGTGTGCAACGAGCCTTAGGCCATCACAGATGGCATAGTAATAACATTAATAATAATCATAGAATATTGGTGGTAACCTTTTTTAAGACAGCTGTTGATGGCAACCCTAGGGACATAGAGAGAATCTTTAACATATTTTTTTACAAATTTTCAGATTTATGTTTGTATACAGAGCCATAATTCATTGAAATGTAAAGAAGTTATACCTGTTGTACTTACTATACAAGTAAATAATTGTTTTGTATTATTTTTGAAGTAGAGATTTACTAAAAATGTTTTTTATTACTTCCAGGTGGATTCGGTACACACAAAAGAAGATTTCAGTGTTTGGAACTTAATTTACATAGTCTTCATTGCTGCTTTGGCCTTACGAATCGCTTACAAAATGAACAGAAATGGATTGTTCAATTTTTTCAGGAATTTTCTAAACATTTATGAAGTACTAGTTGTGGCTGTTGGAGTGCTAAGTGTAATATTTTATCTGATTCATACAAAAGTTTCTACTATTTATGTAGAGGAATTCTACAGGGAAGGGCTAGATTTGTTCTTCAATTTTGAAGATATGATCAAGTATTTTCGGTACACCAAGGCACTTTTGTGGATACTCTTCTGTTTGTTGGTGTTCCGGTTGTTTGTGAGCTGGCATTTCGGCGAGAACTACTTCTACTATTACCACACGTTCGTGTTTTCTTTGCAATGGATTGTCATTTTGTTGATTTTCTTGTTGTATTACTTTTATTTAGTCTGGAGAATGATTGGTTACTCCATTGACGGAAAAGTTTTTTACAACAGCCGTGTGAATATTCTACACTACAAAATGTACAACTGTATATACAAACGAGATTTCCACGATCGAACAAAACTGATCGCCTTTGTACTATGTGTAATGGCGTTGTTTTTTAAAGTAATTTTCTTTGTGATGTTCACTCACTACTTCCAAATAGGAAAACGGAAACGATTACTTCCAATGGAATATTTCAACTTTTTCACTTTTTTTGCTGAAGAATTTGGACGATGTTTCGGGAAGAAAAAAGAAGAGGAATTTGCAACTGATAGACAAATACATAGGAAGAGAGATGTTAAAAGGTCAAAGAGGTCTACCATATATTAATTTTTCCACCCCATAGTTCTGGTGGTATATTTTTGCAACCTTTATCATTTTTGTATTATAATAGCTAAAATTTAAAATAAAATACTTCTATCCATAGTTTTTAATGTATATAGAAAATGGGTTAGCTGTATTTAAGGTAATCCTCAATTCAAGTTTAATTGAATATAAAGAAAACCTAATAGAATTCAAATTTTAGCTTTGACTGACTAAACCTTGAGTCTAGGCCTGTGTTATTAAACACTTATTTAAAAACAAAAAACTAAGGCTCTCTAAAGTCTTTACTGTCCACCCCTACATATCAGACACCCACTTTTTAGTGGGATTTTTATCACTCCCCCCTGATAAAACCTGTTACCACAGGTGTGTGTGTGTGTGTGTGTGTGTGTGTGCAGAAAGGGGTTTGAATATGTAGAAAATGTGCATAAGTATGTTATAGGTATAGGATAATTATTGTAGAAGGATGTTGGCAAAACGAGGCCCACAGTGGGAATTGTCATTAGTTTCAAGGTAGTGATTATAAATTTTAGGAATCTGGTGATTGGCTGATTGACGTGATTAAGGCTACAAAGGTTTACGTCATTCTGCTTGTTCTGCTCGTCGTTGTCAAACTGCTTAGTACTGCGGGGGCGTTGTAGAACCCCAAGCCCCTCATACTCGACCATCATGGGGTTCCCGAGCACCTTGCTGTATAAACCAACCTACTATTATAATATCTCCAATGTTATAATATCTAGTCAATGTTAAATCAAACTCAGATAAATTAAAGGCCATTCAGTTACTAATCATCCACCTTCCAAATTAACATTTAAATTTAGAAATGTTTCAATTGACGAATTAAGAAAAGTTGTTACATCTCTCGGTAACACTAAGTCCTCAGGTTTGGATGAAATTCATCTTTTTGTCATTAAAAGAGTTTTTAAATTTATAGAACATCCATTATGCCAAATAGTAAATCAGTCCCTTCAGGAGGGGGTTTTTTTCTGGTAAGCTTAAGTTTGCTGAGATTAAACCCCTGTTCAAAGAGGGCCATGTCAACGATCCCTCTAACTACCGCCCCATTGCCCTTCTGCCTTGTTTTTCAAAAATTTTTGAAAAAATTCTAAAGATTCAACTAGGTAACAGAATATTTAGAAAGCAATAATTTAATAAATCCTTCGCAGTTTGGTTTCCGCCCAGAACTTGGTACTGAGAAATCCATAACAAAAATGATTAACTGTATTGCCTTGGATGGATCGCAGAAGACTGTGGGTGTGCTATGTGACCTATCCAAGGCTTTTGACTGTGTGAATCATAAGATACTCATAGAAAAATTAAGTATGCATGGAATAAAAAATACTGAATTAAAATGGTTCATATCATATTTAAAAAACCAAAATCAAAGACTTATTGTACAAAAAATGCAGAGAAATTATAAATCAGAGTGGAACATTAACCCCAATGGAGTTTCTCAGGGCTCCATTATTGGCCCTTGTTTATTTATTATATATGTTTATGATCTATGCAATGCTACTAAGATGTCCACCCTTCAATACACAGATGATACCGCTTTAATTTGCACAGGACAAAACAACGAGTTCATACAAGCCTCAATAACTCAGGAATTTCAACTCCTCGGGGACTGGTTTGCAGTAAATGGCCTGTCCATGAATGTGGCAAAAACTCAACTAATTCAGTTTTCTGCATCCAATATTAACCAAGAAATAATTGTAAATACGAACTTAGGCCTAACTATAATTCATTCACAACAGTTAAAATTATTTGGGAATAGAAATCGATTCACAACTAAATTGGCAAAAACACATTAAAAACCTATCAAAAAGACTACGCTCAGCAACATTTGTTCTCACAATAATTCGGGATACTACTAATCTAGAAACACAGTAGTACAGTAGAACCTCTTTAATCCGAACTAATTGGGACCGGGGGTAGTTCGGACTATTGAATAGTTCGGATTACAGAACATGTTGGTTTTTACACAACAATAGCTAGGAAAAGTGAAAAATGCTTTATAAAGTAAAATACAGTGTTTATTTAATACAGTAGTAATCATAGGCAATAAAAAGTACTGTACATTACAATTGAAATAATTACGGTGCGTATATCAATAAATACAGTATACAATAAAGAACTACTGTACTGTGTATAGAGTACAGCAATGAGGCGCTCGGATTACAGGGGTTCGGATTAAAGAGGTTCTACTGTATATCACGCATATTTTTCATCGATTATGAATTATGGAATTACTGTATGGGGCTCATCAAGCCAGTCCAAAAAATATTTATTCTCCAATAAAGAGCTGTAAGATTAATGGCCAGAGTCTCCCGTAGAACACATTGTAAAGATTTATTTATTCATTTTAAAATTTTAACCTTTTTTAGCTCTTATATTTACAAATTGGCATTAATGGTTAAAAGTGATTTCGACACATTCATGGACTGTCAACAATCTCATCCACATAACACAAGATTCAAAAATATTATAAAACCAGTTCAACTTAGGCTTAAAATCTTTCATTTATCCCCTCAGTATATGGGGCCAAAAATTTACTATAAATTACCTGCTGGGATTAAAAACATTGCCTCATTCTCTAAATTTAAACTATCTTTAAAATATTTCCTTTTGGAGAGGGCAGTTTAATGTTAGAAGAATATCTGGAAGATGAGTATATTTGAAAGATATTACTTCTCCCATGGGCCCATAGGTGTGTAGCTTTATTATTTGCTTTATTTCTTTTGTAAGCTATTTTATTATTTAGACTTTGTGACAAATCACCTGTCAAGAGAATTGATGTAATGTGATGATGTATAATAAATAAATAAAGAGGCTTCAGCTGGTTCTTCTTTATAGTGACTGTGTTGATTTTCGCTCTGTGAATAATTAACTTTTTTACGTATTTTTGAGCTCAAGCTCTCTTTAAAGTCGTTAAAAGTTTAATTCTTTGTTTGTTCTTTGTAGTTGTTTCATAGTATCGTGGAAATTGTTAAATTAAACCATAAAACTGTGTTCAAACATAAATCTAACCTACAAGCTACTCCTGTTACAAGAATGTCAACATCTAATGTAAACAAAGCTAAGTATAATAATGTACAACAAACAAAAAAAGTTCCTTGCTATGCCTTTTGATGAAAATATAAGTGATCCTGATGATGATTTTGTCTTTCCAAAACGTAAACTTACCTTTTCTTCCTCTGGATCTCAACTGAAATGATATGTTTTAGATTCAAGTGAACTATGTAAAGGCAATAAGTTTCCAATTCTATCTGAACATACTTATAGTTCTAATGGTAATGGTAATGAATTGGTTCAATCACACGAGATGGATGATTCTACTTTGGAAAATCAAGTAAATGACCCTAAGTTAAAAATCCCTCCTATAGCTACACGACGTGAACAACCACCAAGAAATAATAAAAGATGTCCGAAATATGGTAAAAGCAACTTTTTCAACTCAAGTTAGAGGGCAGTCCCTTAAAGTGAACTTGTCTAACATAGAAGACTTTAGAAATTTGACAGTTTTTTATGATTCTTCCAACATCAAATATCATAATTTTCAAACCCTACATGACAAAAAACTAGAAGCGATTGTCAGAAACGTCCCTACATCATTATCTGAGAATGAAATTAAAACTGAGCTAACAGATCAAAACTATCCTGTCATTAGAGTCACTAGATTACTCAACAAAAACCAACTTCCACTCCCTCTTTGTGCAGTAGACTTAGAAAACAACGACGACGGCAAAGCTATCTTTAATTTAACCACAATCTGTTTTGCAGTTGTAAGTGTCAAAATGAAAAGGAATCTAGGCAAATTCCCCAATGCACTCGATGTCAACGCTATGGACACACAAAGAACTTTTGTAAGCTGGACCCAAGGTGCGTGCGGTGCACTGGTCAACATCACTACTCTGAATGTCCGAAACATTAAACTGCAGCTCCTCAATGTGTTAATTGTGGTGAAAGCCACACAGCTAACTACAGAGGTTGTCAAGTATATCAGAAAATAACCAATAAAGATCTCAATCGGGGTAATCCTCACAATCACCCTCAAAACGCTACTGAGAAAAAAGAAAATACTCCTTCCCCCCTGATTTGAGTTCTGCTACACATTTTCCTCGAATTCATTCAAACTTTTCGCCTCAGGAACCTTCTACATCACGAGTTTCATTCGCTAAAGTTGCTGCTACGAGCCACCGCAACACGAATAATTCATTCTCACAAGAACAATCTGATGATGCTCCTGATACGTCTGTGTTTCAAAACTTTGAACAAATAATCCTAGATGTGGTGAAATCGTTCATTCCTACTCTCAAAAAGATAATAAGTAATGTGATAAGCTCTTTTCTCTCAAATGGATCAGATCAATTATTTTCAAATAAAAAAATTAACCCTCCTTAACTAAAATGCCAAAGGGCTTAGAGATAAACGTGCTACTTTTATCGCGTTTATGGTTAAACATTGCATTGATATTGCATGTATTACTGAGACACACCTAACCAATGTGGAAAGTTTTAAAATTAATGGGTATTCTATATACAGGGAAGATAGGCCTAATCCAAAAGCTTCAGGTGGCGTTGCAATTTTTGTGCGAAGAACTTTGGACCTTCATAATATATTTTTACCTCGTTTATCTTCGGTAGAAGCTGTTGGTGTAAAAATTAATTTAAGTCATGGTGCAGACTTTCGCTTAGTTTCTGTCTACAAACCCCCGAACAAACGGCTCCACAATAATGACTTGCAGGTGCTGTTTGCAGAAAATTGTTCGACTGTTGTTATAAATTGTAAACATCAGATATGGGGTTGCAGAACCACAAATCCAAATGGAAACTGTTTGTTACGACTCACAAATAACTCAAACGTAATGATTGATGCGCCACAAGAACCAACACTTTTTCCATTGCAAACCTAATTATCAGCCAGATATACTTGATTTAGTTCTGCACAAGAACTTTACAGCTCCAATCATTCAAAATGTTGTACCCGAGCTGGACTCTGACCATTCTCCCGTTATAATAACCTTCTTCACGCAACCTCAATTCAGTTGTGCACCTCAACGATTAATTATTGGAAAAATAAATTGGGAAATTTGTAATGGTCAC